TGAGCAGACCAGCCCGGAGACGGCTGCTCCCCCAAATGCTCCCCTGCTGGACGCCTTGCTCTATGAAGGCTGGAAGTCTTCAGCTGTCGTCTTCTGGTCCTCAGTCTGTCCGGAGAAGCTCACATCACTGGGCACCCGGACAGTGTCATGGGACACACGTCCTGCCGAGGACAGGATTCGCAGCAGCAGCACTTCTGCGGGCAAGGGAGGAGCGGAGAGGGCCACGTGCACATGTCTCCGTGCAAATAATCCCCACCATGTTAAACACCCAACGACCAGCCCCCGACTAAACCACAAAGGACAGCAACGCAACTCTATACCAGATATTTCCAGAGATACCCTGTGTCAGTTCACATCTGCCTTTGTCTCTCACACTGTGTGAGTCAACATCCACATAAGCTGATAAGGGATGTTCAGTGTCACGGCTAATGCAGGCAATAAAGAGTTTTTATAACTTAGCTTTTGCTCTTTATCTAAATAATGCCTATTTACGATGGAAAATCTAGAAAATGCAGATAAGCAAAGAAGAGAAAAAATTCACAAACCCCACTCCCCAGAGATAAACATTTGAATATTTTAGGGTATATCCTTTTAGTCTTTTTCTTCTGTGTGTGTGTACACACACACATATACATATATGGTTTTACTTTTATTTTTAATAGGTTCATGGGATGCATACTGTTTCATAATCTCCTTTTCCCATTTTTTTACTGTGAATACTTTTCACATCATTTCATGGTCTTCTATTACACAACGTTTACTGGCTGGATGGTTCTCAATTGAAGAGATGCACCACGGTTTATTTAGCCAATTTCCTACTGCTGAAAATTTAGCTTGTTTCCAATTTTTCACTTAAATACAACACTAGAATAAACATTTTAATAGCTAAATCTTTGAGCATCCAAGATTATTTTCTTAGAATAAATTCCTGGAAGTGGAATTGCTGAGTTGACAGCCATGCAAACGCTTTAAGTTTTGACACATATTGGACAACGGCTCTCTCATGAAAAGGGAAACCTTCAGCATCTACTGAGCAGGCATGCAGGCGATGCAGTGCTGGGGCAGTAGGCGCATCACCTCTCACTCCAGGAAACGACCCAGCACAGGGGGTACTGCCTCGATTTCACAGAGGAGGCCCCTGCGGCCCCGTGAGGCTGAGGCACAAGGCTGCTAAGTGGAAGCTGGACCGGAACTCAGATGTCACTGACCCTAAAGCCTGCGCTGTTCCCAAACTCCTCTCTCAGCCTCTGTTTACTGCCGGGGAGAAGTGGACTGAGGCACTTTGCAAGGGCTTTTTAAAAAGGCTCTGTGTTACTGGGGCGGAGGGAGCTGACAAATACAACAATATCAATATCTCAGTGACTTAACCCAGTAGGGACAGTCTCTTGCTCACATCACAGCCCACGGGGGCAGGGATGGCCTTGCTCCATATAATCATCAGGTACCGAGGCTCCTTCCACCTGCACCCTCTTTTATGTCCTCCAGGATCGTGGATAGGAGGATTATTTTGGGGGTGGGGGTGAGCCTGGAAGTGGTGCACACCCCTTCTGGTAGTATTCTGTGGCTAGAATTGACGCGGCCGCACTCAACCGCAAAGAAAGCAGAGAAACGCAGTGGGGCTGTGAGCCCAGGAGGAGGAAACACACCCCCTAGAGAGCTCTGGCGGGTCTGTCAAGGGGTTGAAGGCAGCTGGGTTTTCCTACTAACCCTCGGTTAACTAGGAAACTCCACGAACCCCTCACTCCGCCTGGTACAGACATCCAGTGCAGAAATCTTAGCGCCGGGCATCCTGTGCTCAATCCCAGCTCTGCCCTCACAAGCTGTGTGCCTTTGGGGGCAATCAGAGCATCAGCAGCTTACAGTTTTGAGTGCTGTCTGTATACGAGGTGTATTGTATACAGTTAAGTGCTCAAACTGTGGAGTCAGACTACCTAGCTTCAAATTCTGGCTCTGTCACCTACCAGCTGTGTGACCTTGGGCAAGCTCCTTAATCTCTCTGTGCTTCCGTTTCCTCATTTGTAAAATGGGGCTAATAACGGAACCTGTATCAGAGGTGGTTGGAAGGATTAAATGTGCTGCACCTATAAAAGCCCTAGGGCAACGCCTGGCACAGGGCAAACCTTACCTAAATTACAGCCACTACTGGGAGGATGGTGTGCCAGGCATCAGGCAGAGTGCTAGGAAGTTATCAGACTTTTTTGGGCCACAGTTTCCTCCTCTGTCAAGCGGGAGAGATAATTCCTTGCCGTTGCCAGAACGCAAAGTCATTTACGGAAAGTACAGCCCAGCCTCTGGCCAGAGTGAGCTGCTCCATGAACAGCAGGCACTGCCAGACCCCCCCACATGTCCCAGTTCATCAAGGTCGGCACCGTCGCCTCACCCTGTGCTGCTGTCGAAGGTCACTGGGGACAATTCCAGACTCTCATTCAGTACGGGTCAAGAGGAACAGAATTCTGTAACCAAAGCCGTCCTTCACTCACCTCCCGTCCCATTGTACACGGGAACATGGTGTCGCAAACACATTATTCCACTCCCGGGGACACCATGCCCTTCCCCCTCAGGCTCTATTCTGCTTGGATTGAAAAGGCGCTGCCTCTCCCAGCTGGCTTTCTGAAACATTCATCCCGCAGACAGAGATTCCAGGGCACAAGGCAGCCTCCTTGGAAGCCCAGGGGACTTCTCTTTCAAGCGGAGTGCCCACCAGGGGCCAGGGGGCGATGGGCTCGCTGAGCAGCCTGCCGACGAGTCCCAGCCCCCACTCAGCAGGCTGGCATAGGACACAGTGCCCATACCAGCCCTGATTCCAGCAGATCCTGCTTGGTGCCACCACAGCTCCTCTCTGCCCTCAGAAGCCCAGGCAGGGCCTCTCTACAAGGAACTTCGTGAGTCCTGTGTCCTGGTCACCTTCCTGGATCTCCTATCTCTCTCTCCCTGGACCGCAGCCCTTATCTGTGTAGGTATCTTAGTCAAGAATATCTCTTTGGCACCAAAGAGCCAAACGACCAATGACACTGCATTTGCCCTGACACTATATTTGGTTTGCTTATACCCAAGTGGTCCTGTCCCTCTCCCCATCCCAGCTCCCAGGACACAGGCTTGCTTCAGAACCCCAGCCTGCCACCGCCCTCATCCCATACACCCTCCTCATCTCCAGCCTCCTTTTCCCCGGGCAGGAAGTTTGGTGGCCTTAAGCTATCACCATACTCCCCGTGCTCACCCCTAGGGTCTCCTTGTCTTTCATGAGCTGCTCCATGTGCTTGTTAACAGAACACAGACACACAAGCTTTCAAAGGCCACCAGCACCTGGACCATATATATATATATATATATATATATATATATATATATATATATTTTTTTTTTTTTTGAGGAAGATTAGCCCTGAGCTACTACTGCCAGTCCTCCTCTTTTTGCTGATGAAGCCTGGCCCTGAGCTAACATCTGTGCCCATCTTCCTCTACTTTATATGTGGGACGCCTACCACAGCATGGCATGCCAAGCGGTGCCATGTCTGCACCCGGGATCCGAACTGGCGAACCCTGTGCCGCCGGAGCAGAACGTGTGAACTTAAGCGCTGTGCCACCGGGCCAGCCCCTGGACCATATTTTATCATCGACCTTTCATTCATTCATTCATATCAACATTCAAATAATTAAATAAATCTTTAAATTGAATATGTCACTGTGCTAGGTGCCAGGAATACAAAGTCCAGTAGGTCATATTCCTGCCTTCACAAAGCTCCCAGTCAGTGGAGGAGAGACGCGGACATAGACAATGAAAGGGCACGGGGATGACTGTGATGATGTGGGTAAGCACGGAGGAGAGGAACTCCCCCACCTTGGGGGGTCAACAAAGGCTTCCGAGGTGAGGTGATACCTCGCTGAGCCTGAAAGGATGCAGGGAATCAGGCAAAGACAGGGAGCCAGGGTCGGGTACCAGCAGAGGCAAGAAACAGCAGGAAACCATTACAATCCGTGGAGAAGCACTAGAGCTTATTACTCCAGGCCGAGAGGGGCGGAGCTGGGGCCGCGGAGGGGGCGGGCCTGGATCATGGTTATAGGGTAACCAATTCAGCAGCCCAGTTCACCCTGATCTTGCAGTTCTGGCACTGAAAGTCCCACACCCCAGGAATCCACCCCCAGTCCCGGGCAAAGTGACATAGTTGGTCACCCTGGTCAAGGAGCTCTTTCCAAGCTAAGGAGCTTGACTATTTTGCAAAGGTGACAAGGAGTCTATGGAGGATCATAAGCAGGCAAGTGACATGATTGGATTTGTATTTATAATATTACGCAGAAAACCCACTACAAGTGCTTCCACCATGCAGACAGTGGGTACACCCTCCTCCCTGAGCATCCCCTGGCACATCAGCCATTTATAATGCTCCGAGTGCATTGACCACCAACGCTTTGCCATGAAATTGAAGGCTCTGACACTTCCTGTCAGCCTGCTGTCACGGAGGACGTCACGGAGGATCCCTGGAGACGGGAGCCCTTCCTTCCTCCACACCCACATGCCTCATGGTAACGTACCCAGAAGCACTCCACTTCCTGAGGGGCCGTCAGATCAGAGAACATGGAAATTCCAGAGAGTGTTCAAGCACGCCATGATTTTCCCAGACCAGCACAGTTTCCAGCCAGTGCCTTCCAGACTTCAGAGCGACAGGGATGACATATCTAATGCAAGGGAGCATCACAGCCCAAGGAAATCCAATATGGAGAGAACTCCACTGTCGCAAGCTTGACAGATATCAACATCGCTGTGCTGTGTTCAAATCTCATTAAGGCCAACCAGATCGGTGCCAGGGTAGAGAGAAGATGTACTCTATTATTTATTAGTTTTGTTTGTCTGCAGAAAAAGATTCCACTTCCATGGTTAATGGCAAGTAAGACAACAGCCAGGGGATGAGGAAGGTTAGACAAAAGAGATGCTTTGTGGGAGAGCTTGGAAGATAAACACCATCCTGGCAGGATTGGTCCCTCCAGAAACTGTGGTACAAGATATTAATTATGTAACTTTATTATATAAGTCTACAATTATAGACACTATAGCTATCCAAGATATTAATTACATCTGTTTTTCGAAATGGTCTGCTGGTGATTTGGAAGAGCTTTGTTAGATCTCTGGTGCTGGTGGACGTAGGAAGTGCTTCCTGGGAAGGCACTGCGGGCAGGTGAGCAGAGCGGCTGTGACCAGATGTGCATGCAGACGGCACAGCAGCGAGAAGAAGGATGGGGGCGTCTGGAGGAATGCCGGGCAAAGCAGGCAGTCTGCAGCGAGACAGAGAAAAAGCCTCTGAGAAGCATGCCTGGGGCTCCGCTCAGCTCCCCAGAGGCATGGCAGGCTCAGAGCGATGCTGGGGGAGAGAGTCGGGGCAGTGGAGGTGGCCGAGCCCAGCAGGTGATGGGGTCTAAGGTGGTCGGCATCCTCTCTTGTCCTCCCACCTCTGCCCTTTCCCCTTGGGAGTCTGCTTCAGGAGGCAACAGGGAACTGGAGAGGAGGTGGACTTTTTCTAGAGAATCAAGTGTGAAGTCTGGGCGTGAATTTCTCCCACATCTCACTTGGAATTTTCCCTCCCACGGTCATGGCTTCATAGCATCGCAGCCCACTGCTCCCTCTTCCTCGCAGGTAATAGGGCTTCCTTTTACTCTCCAAACAAGTCTCTCTCCGACCCCCTCAGCTTCTCCCCCCAGTCACCAGGACCTCAGTGTCCTCCCTCCCCGCTCCATCTAGCCTGCCTGAGCCTGACCCACACTGCAAGTTCCCAGCCACTCTCACCACCAGCTACATGGGTCTGTGAAGCCAACCTCACGTGCCCACCAACAGTCCCCCAGACAGCCCTGCCCCCTTCTCCTTCCAGATTCAGCTCTGGCATCAGCATCTCCAGAAGACACCTCTGCTCCAAGCCCCCCACATGCTGGGGAAGGGGCTCAGGAGAGCTGGAGTAATTTTCCCAAGACCACACAACTAACAAGGGCTGACGCCAGGGCTGCAACTCAGGCCCGCAGGCCTCCAGGTACACATGCCTGGCATGCAGCCTGGGCTGGGGAACCAGAAAAATGCAATGACAGCCCTGCCCTCAAGGAGCTCAGAGGCTGGTCTGGCCGACAGCCTGCCACAACGCCCCCAGCAGCACCGGGGATGTGTTTGATCATGTGTCCTTTAGAGTAAAAATACAGTCAAAGGTGGCTCAAACCTGTCCTGGGCTGGACAACTAAAGGCTCTGGCAGAGACAAAGTCGGCTTGTACAAAAGGGAGTGTGCCCTCCCCGAGTGACTCCCTGCCCCACCCCCACCCAGCTCTCCGTCTGCCGTTTCCAAAGCCAATGGGCATGAGACACTTTTATCACCAGCAGCCCTATCATAGCAAGTAGTGAGGCGGGGCCCTCCATCAAAGGTGCGCGCCTCCACGAGCGGGAGCCAGCGGAGCAGCGTCTATCTGAGACTCAGTGCGTGTACGCGGCCGCCACCCGCGCCTGCCAAGGAACTGATAAGGTGCCTCTCGTCAGGTTCTGACAGGCAGCAGCACGGCAGGATGCATCGGGGCCCAACGAGCCAGAGGCACGTCGCCAAGGAAGAAACTCAGGGTAGAAGAACAAAGAAGACCAAAACTACATCCCAAAGCGATGAAGACGGGACCCGAAAATGAAGCAGGCACCGCCCCGCCCCCCTAAGAAGCCCAGCCTCTGTCTTCAGATGGCCTGGAAGAGTCGGTTGCAGCTTGGAAGCCGAAAGATAAATGACACGTGAGGGGGGCCGGGCTGTGACAGCCCAGGCGGAGGGCAGAGATGTGTTTGCGGCACGAGTCACTTCACTGCACATGGAGCTTGTCTCGCACACCCGCTCTGCGCAGCCCTTCTCCTCTCTCCCCAGAGATGAACTGTTTGTTCAGGCCGCAGACAGCTCCGCCTTGTCAAATGCTGCCTCCTCCGATCTTCCACCTGCCTCCTCCCAGCCTCACCGTCTTAATCTATTCCAAAGGCTGTTACCCAAATGAAGCTTCACACGCCTCACGTCTCTCCTCTCCTCAAGCTGTTCTACCTCGACTCCCGTCTCCTTCAGCTCACACCAGCGAAAATCCCTCTTCCGTTTTCCCGAAGGGATGAAATGAAAGTGAAAGCTGGAGTCTTGGTGGAAGGGCAGAACCGTCGTCCTGGAAAGCAGGAGACCTGGCGTGTCCTTCCCATAATCCTTTTAAGCTCCCGGAGCCTTGAGAGTCTTGTCTGCATAATGGGCATGGAAGCACTTATTCTGATACCCAAGTCATTTTTGGCACTTCTTCCAATTTGAAGACCTATGATCAAACCAAGTCCGCAGTCCGCCATCGTTCTTTGACACACGCATACACCAGGCACGATGCTGTGTGCTAGGAACGTGGAGATGCAAGGTTGCAGCCCCCCCTCAAGGAGTGCACAGCCAAGGGACAGTCAGGCATGCGAATATCCAAACATGCTGAGTGGGACAAGCATGTTACGGCCCAGGGCTCTGTGGGAGCCGAGAAGAGCCCTACATCTGCCTGGACACAGGAAGAACAGAGCAAGCAGTGAGTTACATGTTAATGGATGGACAAGATGGGCAAAAGCCTTCCAGGCAGCAGGAAGAGCTGGAGCAAAGGCAGGAGGCTATGAGAAGGGACGGGGCAGCACCCTCCCAAGCTCCCCGATGACATTCCTATCTGCCCTGTTCTTGTTGCCTGCTTGGGACAGTGTGATCAGAACTTCTAAGATCCAATCCCTTTGTATCATTGATGAGAAAGCAAGTCCTGGAAGAAAGACAGCGTTTGCCCAGGGCCAGACCCAGATCTTCTGACTCCTGTCTGGGGCGCTTTCCCCACACTACCCGCTCACAGCCTTCTCCAGGCCTCCTGATCGCTAGGAATGCCCTTCCTTCTTGAACTAGCTCCACCTCACTACTTTCTTGACAAAAGAGCTCAACTAAGAGTTCTCTAAGGGGTGGGTAGAAAAGTGGTGCCACCCAGGGAAAAAACTCACCTTTAGCATCACTTCCTCCAGGAAGCTTTCCCTGACTACTGCCCCAGGCCAGGTGTCCCTCCTTTGTTTTTCCAGAGCCCCAGTGCTGATGCCTGAGCCCTTGTCGCTCTTTACTGTAACTCCCCACGCACTCACTGTCTTCTCTGCCAAACTGGGCGTTCCAGACAGTATCTGATATCCAGCAGGTTCTCAGTGAATAGTTTTGGACAGATAGATAGATGGATAAATGAACAAACCTATTTCTTTGAGAGACAGTGTGAGATTGTAGGAGGAGCCTGAAATAGAAGAAAGGACTTGGGTTCGAGTCCTGCTCCACCACCTATTAGAACTAGGAGCTTGGATGCGTCTCCCACCCCCTCATGGCCTCGGTCCTCTCTCCCGAGGGGAGGAATCTAAGCGTACTCACCTCAAGGCTGTCGTGAGATTTAAATGTGACCACTGATGTGCGGGAGCTTTGCAAACTGCCAAGTCTCCTGCACATGTTACCTCTATTTACCAATTAGGATACTTCGGGCAGCAAGGAAAAGGAAATCCACTTTAACTCAGCTTAAACAACACGGGAATTATTGGCCCACATAACCAGACATGCACAAACAGAAAAAAATTTGAGTAGGAAATAACTGCCAAAGTAGAACATGATTTTTCTAAACACAAGATTTTTCTTAAAACAACCCCCATAAACTTGCCTTTTCCCCTGTGACACGTTTGGCTTTAAGCCAGTGCGCTCAGCTGTCACTCCCTACCTGAAAGGGAACTGAGCAAGGCTACCTGTGAGAAAAAGCCCTCGAGCATATTGTAGTCACTCATTTAAGCAAGAGGGTAAACCTTTGGGCAGCCAATCCTTTTGCCTAGTGTCTCCCCAAATCCCTTTCAACCTCCCTCCCAAGATATTTATAGTGATATTTGTGTTTTTAATAAAAATGAATCTTTGAGGAAAGGCTAATAAAATGATCATAAATGCACACACACACACCCCCCGCCCCCCACCATCACCACGAGAAGATAAAACATAAAGAGCTACAGGCCCGCCAAGAGATCATAACACGGATACTTTCCCGGAGCCCTTCCCGGGGAGTTGAGTGTTTTACTAGGTAGAGTGACAGGACCTGGACACCCGGACTGATGAAAACACAAGGCTTTCGTGTAGCTCTGTAGACAAATTCAGGTCCATCCAAGCCACGGCATCCAGCAGTTCATGCACAGACTGGAAACTGTACCCCCTGAACAGCATCGGCTGATGGATATTTGTAATATCTAATTTAATAGGACAGAGAGGCCTGGAGAGTAGTAAATTCAGAGCAACGTGGAGCAAGAGCTGAGCTTGCGGGGAGGAGGGAGACAGTGAAATTCAATCACCAGGAAAAGAACACCCCAGAAGAATTTTGCTGGAATGGAAGGAAAGGAGCACGAACGCATCACCCTGCTTCTCCAAGAGCGGTCACTTGTCTCCCAGTCTGTGCCCCGCCCTCCTCCGGGATGAACTGAGACACGTCTGATTAGGAGCGACTGCAGTGGGGCACAGTGTCCCTGCAGAGGTCTCCCGCCATGCCTATGGAAGGAGCGGTCTACCCGGAGGTATGGAACCATGACTCTGCAAAGTCTGAGGGGATCTCAGAGAGAGCAGCTGGCTGCCATAAACCAAGAAGTTGGGCAAATGAGTCTCTACTGAGTGGCTATAGGTGGCCAGTCCTGAGCTGAAATCTAGAAGGAACATATGAGTATAAGAAACTGTCGTTGTCCAGGAGGAGCTTTCAATGGGGCCAGAATGGAGGACACCGGGGTCCTAATCCTGACCTGGAGGCTGGGCGAGCCAGATGGGAACGCCTCTTTGTGGGACGCAGCATCCAACCAGAAGGCACAGATGCAATCAAGGTCGGTCTTCGTGTGCCTACAGGGCTGCCAATCAGAGGGGGGCGGGACAAGGTCCTTATAAAGAGACAGAGGCAGTCGCCAATCCAAAGAGAAGAAAAAGGCTTGCAGGGCAACTGAGCCACGTGTTGGGCGCCAAACCGCCAGGTGGGCCAAACAGCTGGGCAACACCATGGGGGGAGGGTTTTGTACCCTGAATGTCCAGGTCCTGAACTGTCCCAGATTCATGATATTTCCAGAGTTTAGGCTTCCTAAATCAAGAGGAGAAAGGATTTTTTTTTTTTAAAAAAAGGCGTTGATCCAGGTCAACAGCTTCTGGCTGGATTCTCCTGGGGTTTCTTCCTATCACACAGCTGAAGAAATGGAAATGGAAAGTATACTCGCATAACTGGACATAAATGTTCAAACAACTGGCTTTTGCCAAAGCACTCGAGTGACTGAGGGTCTCCCAACTGCGTGTCACCAGAGAGGGCACTGCCGGGCCCCGGGACCCCCAGCCAATGGCAGCTCACCCCTCCACCCACACCAGCACCACAAACCATCCTCCAGGGAGGACAGCGAGGAGCAACTTCTAAAAGAGAGCATTCTCTGCAAACCTTCTAAAACTTTCTTCAGATGCATCAGGTATTTAGATTCCTAGACAGACAGTCATCTCCTGGAGCTGACAGAGTTATAGGTGCCGAGTTCCCGCACACACAATAATAACAAGACCACAGGATGACAACAGTGTGAAGTCAGAAAAGCAAGTGTTTTTGAAGGAAAAAACCCAGCCTAGTCACACGTGTAAATTATGGTCATAATATGCATCATCAGGATTGCTATGACAGGCACATACTGAGTTTTGCTATCTGGACAGCCAAGGAAGATCTAGCCTTGTTATAAATTATTATCAAAATAACTGAATGCATTGTTTTCATGCAGTGATCTTGGTTAAAACTACTACACCTTTTCTGAGTGGAAAAATGGCTGGTGGTGCGGGGCATACAGCAGCTTTCAGCCTCCATTTCCCCACGGATAAAACTGGGGGAACGGTACCTTTCTCTCCTGTTATTCTTTAATCCAACAATTTATAAGCCCTCATTGGGCCGAGGCCATGTGCCACCATGTTCCCGGTGCTGGAGCTCCAGCCGTGACCATGACAGTGGGTTTGCCTTTGTGGAGTTTACATCAAGGGGGAGGGACGTCCACATACAAGAATATAAATAAGCATGCAGTGTCATTTCGGGTATGGTAAGTGCTATGACCAAGGAAAAAAAGGCAGGACAAGGGCAGAGAGTGCGCAAGGTGGGCCCTGCGGAGGGCTTGGCTCAGATGATGTGGTCCGAGCAGACCGTTCAGAGGAGGTGCCCTGGATGAAGAGTGAGGCAGCCCTGAAATTAGCGGGGGGAACCGTTCCCTAGGCACAGGGAACAGTGGGTGTGAAGACCCTGAGATGGGAATACACTGACAGGTTCGGTGAACAGCAGGGAGGTCATTGTGCCTAAAGGGGGGATTGGAAGGAGAGGGCGGGAAGGCCAGCAGAGGCCAGACGTCCTGTTAGACTTCCAGGGGGGCACAGGTGCACAGCTGGATCTGGAGACATACACTTGGGTTATCAGCACAGAGACAGACGGTAAAGCCCAAGGTCTGGATAAAATCACCTACAAAGCCCTAGAGAAGAGAGAAAGGGACTATGACAGAGCCCAGGCACTTGACCTTCAGGGGAGCCAGCAAAGGAGACTGAAAAAGCGAGACCATCATTATGAGAGAGTGAGCCCCACAAGGAGAGAGCGGCCTGTCTTTGCAGGAATGATATGGGGTAACATGTGTACAAGCTTTAGCACAGGGACCCGCAAAGAGGCAGCTCTCAAAGGTCATTTTCCTCCCCTGGGTTTCAGAGAGGGTTAAGTACTGCGGGATTTAAAATAAGGAAGAAATGAGTGTAGACCGGAGAAAGAAACAGTATTCCCTATCTGGATAAAAAAGAACACAATAAGACTGGTTAAGATTAAAATGAATTTTCCTAGAAACGCCAACAGCCCAAATGGCCAAATGCTGTGAAATGATTAGAACACACTGCTGATGAGGCCAGGAGGTCCTGACACCTGGATTCCGCACCATTTCTCAGCGTTATTTGTTACCAAAACCTCTGGGCCCTGGCCTTTCTCCCGCCTCACAGAAGCGGGGCAGGATTTTGAAGCAGAGTTCAGCCTGCCTCAGGTTGGAGCCAGTATCTTCTAAGTGCTATCCTTCAAGCACAAAGGAACGGGGACTGAGTGTTGGAGGCCCCACGGCTCCGCTCTGCAGGTGTCCCCAGACATCTGGAAGGAGCCCAGCCCCATCGTCCGTCTGAGCCAGCTAGAAAGGAGGCCTCGCTGACAGCCATTTAATACCCAGGCCACGCTCCATCCGAACCAAATACAAACCCAGCTGTCATCTAACTCACAACAAACGTGGACCCTCTGGTGGCGATCTGAAGGGATGGAGCAACAGAGAAAGCCTCCAGACCTCAAAGAATAAAGGGAGCTGATGGAAAGAACCAGAATAATCCCCTATTCGGCCCTTTTCAGCTAGGGAAGCACAGGCACATTTACTGTCTCACAAGATCCTGTGGCATAAATAAGGATGCTACAACTCTTTTACAAATAAGGAAACTGAGGCACTCAGAGGGAGAATGGCTCACCTGAGAGCATAAGATGCATTTAGTAGCAGAGCTAGAATTATCTCCAGGTTTCCCAATTCCTTGCCTTAGGGGTCACCAGGAGGATTAAATGAGATATGAAAACGGATGTGTATACGGAATTGCGAGACATTGGGCCTCACTAAGTCGAATTAGGACAGTCAATTTTGGAGCTTCCACTTAAATCCTGACTTACTAATTATGAATCACTGAATAAGTTACTCTCAACCTCCCCAGCCCTTGGTTACCTCACCTAATGGTACCAACGTTCTTCTAGGATTGTGGTAAAAATTAAATACGAGAATGAAAAGCACACAGAGCAATCTCTGGTATACAGTAAGAGCTCAATAAATGTTAGCTACTTTCAGTAGCAATAGCAATATTTTCCACTAATTATTTGAGTGGCCTTAGGCCAGCTGCTCCTCTTTTTGCGTTACAGGTGCCCTCACCTGTAAAATGAGGGAAGTTAAAGTAGCCTCAGTGGGCAGGTGGAAAAGCACCGTGATTCGGATGCGGACTGGCCGCAGATGGGAAGGATTCGCATGCTGGTTCTTCTGAAAGTTGCGCATCCTCTGGAAACTGCATTGCCCCATTGGTAAAATGGAGATAAACGGTACCCACCTGATGGGCTTTCTCTGAAGATCGCATGAAATAATGCATGTAGAATTCTTAATAAGTACAGTATAATACAGAATAGTACATAATAAGTGCTCAATAAAACTTGGTTAAGGTGGTTGCCCCCACTTTTCTGCAATTCTTTTCGATTGATGGCCAAAATTATAGAGGACAACTTGCTATCTGAGACCCCCAGTTTCCCCATCTGTAAAATGGGGGCTTGGACTAGATGTTCTCAAGGGACGGCCACCTCTGACGTTCTGTGAGGCTACAGGCATCTTAAGGAAATGCTTCTTCCCAGGAAGTCGTGGAATCTTCCCAAAACTTGGAGTTGGAGAGCCCAGCTGCCTGCTGTTACACAGCTTGGAAGCCACATCTCCTGGCTCATGTCCCCTTAACATTAACTGTCAGCAAGCCTGGCCTTTGAAGCAACTGCAAATGAGGTATCTGTACACAGTTGGGGAGCCAGCCAGCACGGGCGCCATGTTCTGCCCTGTGGCTCCCCAGCTCCATCTCTGACTTAGCGCATTCCCAGGCCACTTCAGGACACAAAGAAAGTTTCAGGGGCCAGCACGGTGGTGCAGCGGTTAAGTTCACATGCTCCGCTTCTCAGCGGCCCAGGGTTAGCCGGTTCGGATCCCAGGTGTGGACGTGGCACCACTTGGCATGCCATGCTGTGGTAGGCATCCCACATATAAAGTAGAGGAAGATGGGCACGGATGTTAGCTCAGGGCCAGGCTTCCTCAGCAAAAAGACGAGGACTGGCAGTAGTTAACTCAGGGCTAATCTTCCTCAAAAAAAAAAAAAAAAAAGAAAGTTTCAGAGCAAAGAGGACTATTCTCCTTCTTACTCCCTTCCTAAATAAACATTCTCCTCCATGTTGGAATTACTCTCCTCTTGGTCAAAAATATTTCACAGCAACATTTGAGAGTGGGCAAACACCTGCCGCAAAGCTGTGTCATAGGCAGCCTTGACTGCTCGGTCACCTGCTATCAGATGACACGCCCTCTCCTGCACAAGAGCTGCATCCGGGTACTTAGAGTCAGACTCTGCTGAGGAGTTGGAGAAAACCTGTTGAGCAAAATCTTACAGTGCAGCTTCCTCTCTTCCCCCATCTCCCAAGGCCGGCTCAATGAAAAGGCCGGTCTAATAAGAAGCCTTAACCATTTCCATTAGCCATTCTTTTACCCAGTCGGGCCAAATTGGTATTTGATGCAACAGGGAAATGTGGCGAGCACATTATCAATCAGGCTCAGCAAAGGCAAGGTCACGGGGTGACTGGAACAATTACGGGACGTGGGCAACAGGCCAATAAGGGAGCGTGTTGGGGAGGAGAGGGATCGATGGCTATGAAATTATGGAGGGCTATGATAGTTGGAGGCAACTGAAAGGCTGACATTCTGGCCAAACCAGACATGTGCAAGGCTTCCATCTTTAACTGTCTTCAACTGTTTATTATTATTAGGAATACTGCTTGGCTCCAAGGCAGCCAGGACAGAGAAGTGGACCTTGAAGCCTGCAACCAGGCCGTGGGAACAAGTGTCACGCAGTGCAGAATATTTGATAGGAGATACATCAGACTGGTTTTCCAGCAAGAAAAGAGATGTCAAGGTGCCCACCAAGGAAACTAGGCTTGCTATCTTTCGATCTCCTGACGTGGCCGCTCGATATTCTCAACAGCCTCAGGAGGACACAGGTTTCCAGGAGACTTTTCCAGATAAAGTGTGCTGGGGTACAGAAATAGCCCCCACACTGCCTTAACTGGGCATTGATTCTTTGGAATCAATGTGCATTTAATTCTACAATAAAATGGTAGTGAACCATCCAGAAGATCTCCCTAGGGCACACAGCTCAAAGAAAACCTCTGAGCAAGTCACAGAAGTTTGCAAAGGAGGTTGCACCAGAAACGAACCACACAGCATTAAAACCCTCAATCCCGGTAAACAGGCGTGGCCGCGGACTTCTTTGTAAAGGGAATCACATTTATGACTACAAAGAGGAGCATCCACCCAGTTTGTCAAACACAGAGTAGACCAGGCAGAAACGAAGCTGTGGTCATTTTATAAGGGTTTTTAGATTATTAATCTGAATCATCAATGAAAGTTTTCATTGAGGTGCACCCTAGGAATTGATTTGCAATGGGTCGTTCCAATGTGCTACGCAAACTTGCTGTAGAAAATTAGTCATCCCAGACTCCCTAAAGAATACAGACACGACATCCGGGCATCTGTTAAGTTTGCTCAAAAACATATGTGAGCCTTTTTTAAAGAACCATAATTACATCCTGCTGAAACCTCCAAGGACCCTGCTAACTGCCTTTGTATTACAACATCCATTTCCCACTTAGGAAGGCTCGTCTCTGCTATTTAGATGTGCCTTACGATCTGCCTGCTCCTCTCGCACACTTACTCAGCTAGACTCTGCAAACGCTCGAGTCCTTCCACGCTCAAAGCAGACACACTGGAGGAAGCAAGAGTTGAAGGGTGGTGCGTGTATGCGTCCTTTGTTAGGGTACAGTCAGCAATTTGGAGCTGAAAGGGACCTACGCATTAATCCAGGCCAACTCTCACATTTTCAGATGGTATCACTGAAGACCAGAGAGGGAAATGGCTCATCCAATGTCACACAGCTAAAACCTGAAACAGTGTATGGTAGAGCAATTAAAAGCTTAGGCTTGGGGGTCACACAGACAACAAATCCATGCTCTATCACTTATTTGCTGTGTGACTTTGAGTGACGCACTTAACTTCTCTGAACCTCGGGTCCTTCATTTATAAAACGGAAACTGTAACAGTGTCTGGTTGTAATAAGTACCCAAGGAACACTAGCTGTTAGTATCCTTTTCATTTTCACAAACACAGCCTCATTTAATCCTCACAACAACGTCAGGAGGGAGAGAGGACTGGGATTCCCAGCCTCGTCATGCAGGTGAGAAACCAGAACACCTTCTTGCAGTTCACAGGAAGGGACTGACTCTGCCAGGCCTCGCACAGCCCAGGTCGTTTCTCACACTCCTGCTGAGGTGGTTACGGGGAGCGTGGCCCCATTCAGCGTCCCGCCGGTCTTCTCGACTTTGCCCAGAGATGGACAGGGCGGTCAGGAGGGAGCCTGCTCGTGAGGGTCTTGAGGGGAACAAAACCAGCTCAGCCGCCACTCTCAGGGCTTCCAAGCCCGCAGCGACTGAGGGTCCAGCCGGCTGTTCCCTGCCTTGGGGAAAGAACGAGAGCAGGTGTGTCTTCAAACCTGTTGCTGGACGCTGGGGATGCGAGCATACTGGGGGATGCGGGGTGGGACTTCAGGATTCTACTGCGTATTTTAAAGCTGACATCAGAGTACTTGTCAACGATCCATCAGCCTGCCCTCCTGACCCCCAAATCTGGCCTTTGGGAGAAATCTAATTGCCTGCTGTGAGTGACACCGGAGCTGTGTGGGTGATAAGGTCATATACAGTCACTTGGTGATTATGTGCCCTAATGGAAGGAGGAACACGTTGAACGAATGCATGAGTGAGTGAATGAACGAATGCACACTGGGGTTATTTACACTAAGCTCTGGAGCACAGTACAATGATGTCTCCATTAGTGCGTCTGCTGGGAACTCAGTCCCTATAAGGACGTCCGCCAAGGACAGGGCCAGAAGAAAGCTGCAGGGGCTGTCTTAAATAAAGACCCCAGCATCGGCTTCTCGGGGCTCACTGTGGGAGTGTTCCGAGTCCTCAGGGCCTGTGGGATGGACACACAGCTCAGGCAGCGGGAAGCTGCACTCTGGGCCACTGGGAACGAGACTGTCACAGAGGTGGGCAGACAAGTCTCCGAGAACAGATGGGCTGGGGCTCTGCCACCTTGTTTAACCAAGCCGGTGGGAACCTTTCTAGACAAGCTACTACCATGAGCATCACCTGATAGCTGTGCTATTTGTTCATTCATTCATTCTTCATTCATTCATTCATTCATTCATTGGATGAACAGTTCGTGGAGCACCTACAATGTGCCAAACATGAGACCAGAAATACAAAACTGAGTAAAACTTAGCCTAAATCCTTGAAAAGCTCGTTGTCAGGCAGGGGAGCCAGACAGGGGAACAGCTGTCCAGAATACAGTGTGGGACGTCCACCACAGAGATCAGCTCCAGGGGCCCTGGAAGCACATAGGAGGGGTCCCCAACCAGCCAGGGGGTAGTGGTCAAGGAAGGCATCTCGGAGGAGGTGACCCTAGATCTGAATCTTCAAGGAGGACAACCTGCTCAGCACGGTCACAAAAACAGTGGCGTGGTTGTTCTTGGCAGAGGGAACAGCACGTGCAAATGCTCATAGGCTGTGAGAAGATCCTGAGGAGTCAGGAAACTACAAACGGTGCTGTGCCACCTGCACTGAGGGTCTAATCCTGGGTCTACCACTCTGGGTGTGACAACTCTGGGCCTCAGTGTCCTTGTCCACACAATGATAACTATGGATTAAAGACCCAAATGTCAAAGGGAGAATGCCCCCAGACCTAAGAACCCCGCTGTAGCAGTGCCCCAAGCAAAAGGTGAAGAGCTGACACGACTTTGTTGGAACAGTCTAGCAGCTACTAAACCACGGCTACTGGACTCTAGCTAGTTGTCTGTTCCATACTTGGGGAGGAGAGGACGGGGGACAGGAGGTAGCAAGGAGCAGCCAGGCATTGAGCTCTCACTATGCACCAGACGGTCTCAGTGCTCTCTTCTCCAAAAAAAAATCCGCGAAAGTGTTCCTCATCTGACAGACAAGGAAACAGGCTCGGAGAGGAGAAGCAGTTTGCATATGGTCCCACTGTAAGGGCTGGACCCAGGACTTCATCCAGGGTCTGTTTGATTCCAGATCCAGCTCTTCCCAGGATACTCCTCTGCCTCTCATCCCCCGCTGGGAGCTCTGGCAGGCCCATCCCAGGACCTGAGCCTTTACGCCACCCTATCCTTGCCCACCTAGAGGCTCTTGGCCCCCTTCCTCTGCAGACCAGCCTCCAGGGGAAAGCCGAAGAAATGCAAGCCTGTTGGGAGGACAGAGCAGCAAGAGCGGCCCTGGCCCCGCTCCAAGCGAGGGAGGGCCGTGTACAGCCCTTCCTCCACCCACTCAGAGCTTCAGACCCAGAAGGGCTCCATGGAGGCCGCCCGGTCATCGGTGCAGCTGCTGCCTCTCCAGCAGCCCACCCTGGGCCTCTTAGGGAGCGGCCCTGACGTCATGCTCACTGGTAACCCGACCCCTAATGACTGCTCCCTCATCACCCCTGCTGGGCCCATCATGCCTCACAGGAGAGAGGTCACCCCCCAGGGGAAGGGGCCAGGTGGGGCTCTTTTTAGTGGCTGCTGAAATGAGAGATAATTTTGGTTATTGACATCTCCCACAGGACTTCCCCATCCTCAGAGCTGTTCCTAATGCTTCCTCTCTGGCTGCTTCTAGAATCAGACCTGCTTTCACGTCACACTAAAAGAGCAAGGGTGACTCTCCCTTTGGACTTGTGCTCATTAGCTGGCCAAGAGCTGGATCTTAAAAGCATAAGGTTTTGGGGGGGTGCTCTTAACTCTAGGAAGACAAACACTGAAGAATAAACCCTTCAGTTAATCACTGACCCATGCGCTCTCTAAAATGGGTCTAAGTACCAGCCAAACACTACACTTATTTAAATGCCATT